AGTGATGCTGAGCTGCTACTCTTGGTACTCAGAGTAACCACTTTGTCCCTCAGGGTCTGTGCAACTCCCAGCCCAGAAGGCTGCTCAGCACGAGGACGCTGCTTTGGGCAACCACACGCTCAACTCACAGCACACCTCCACCCCCAACAGCAAACCCAGAACGTTCCCCAGGGATGTTTATCTTACCTTCAGTTGAGACTCCAAGGCTGTTCTCACCTGGATTGTGTTCTGACCCTTTTCTGGAGGCACAAGATGAGCCAGACCTCCCTGCTGCTTCTTATCTCTGTCTCCTCAGCAGGTCCCAGCCTGCCTGGGCAGCCTGTTCACAGCTGCTTGCAGGCTGAATTAGTACCAGGGCACACCAGCACACTCTGCTGTCTGACACTGCTGGTGTTAGATAACTGGGGAGTAAACTGCAGTTATAATAGTGTTGTCATTTCTGTGACTGTTTGCAAGTGCAGAGTAAATTAACTGTAGTTGTTTGGTGGGTTTTTTTCTGATAAAACTGAAGTGCTTTCTAAACTTGGTGACGTTTTCTCACTTTGTTGCACATAGGCTGTTTAAATGGAGGTGGTCAGATCAAACCAGATGGTGAATCCAGCAAGGACCAGCTTCAGCAAGTTGAGAGGTTGTATGAGTCTCTTAAGACTGAAATTCCAGAGAAGAACCGGACTGTAAATGAACTGTATGAGCAGTGGCTGGATGGCATGGATTCAGAAAAGGCTGCGAAAGCTTTGCATACGGAGTACCACGCGGTGGAGAAAACGGGCACTGGATTTAACATCAAATGGTGAAGACTGCTGGCGGCAGATCTGTGAAGCCCAGATACACTCAATGCCTTTTTAATTCAATTATATTTAAGATTCCCAAAAGACAGCTAAAGTTCTGTGCCATCACTGGGAATTTGCAATTTCTGACTCGCTAGGGATGAGACGGTAACATGCACATAGGCAGGCAATATGAATTCCTACAGCTTTATAATTACTGAAGTGATGTAAATAAAACCCAAATGCTGACTTAAAATATATGTCAAAAGAAGGAGTAGTGCATCCTAGCCTCCACCCAGTCTTTAAGGACAAACCTGCACTCCCTTTACAACCCTGTTCCTACCAGAACTGATGAATTAAGGTACAGAAGGATTTGGCTTTGACTGTAGCCTCACCGAGATGAGCTCTATGCTGCACAACAGTATTACTCGTCCGGGCCTCGCTGTGTTTTCACAGCACTGTGTTTGATGGCTGTCTCTGTTGCAACATCCTCATTTAGTTATAAATGGACTAAATAGACCTTGGGTTCTGTTTTTCCATTCCACTGCCCTCGTGGTCCAGCTGCAGAATCTCTGCCCTGTCAGAGGGGGGTGGGTGCCAGCAGCCTGCCGTCACGGGAGAAGCAGCATCTCTGGAGCTGTGCCGTTGCCTGCTGAAACGTGACTGGAATGAATCTTCAAGAAGAAAAAGCTACAGTGATTATTTTTTTTTCTCTTTAATTATAACAATTGTCTATAACTGTGGGCAATTACATCGCTTTCTCTCTCTAAATATATAGTAGAGAAAGTCACAGAATTATCACATCTCCCCATCCTCAACAGCCAGTTACTGATGGATAATATCCTTAAATTCAGAGAAAACAATTTTTTACAGTGTTTCAAGGAAGAATTTATTACCAGCTTTCCTTTCAACAAAGGACAAAGTCCTTGGTGTTGCTGAAAGGTGTTACTTTACAAAAGTTACTAGGAGAAGACCGTGAAATGTAATCATTACAACAAGTAGATTACCAGAACAATCCAAGAGGTTAGTAAAAACACATCTGGTTTAGTGCAGCATATTACGATGCCTTGCCAGAAGCCAGGTGGATGCAAAACAGATTTGGTCTTTTGTTACTGGAGGTGACATGCGTTTGTCTTGCCATCTGTATTTTTACATACGGGTACTTTCAGAGCTATTTACAGAAAAACAACTGAGTGAATAACTTGGGTCTATTTAATCTGAATATCAGTTTTTCTGGAGTTACAATGCATATGGGGAGGGGACAGCAGCAGTGGGAGGATTTGCTGCTCTACCTGAGCTCGAGGGGAAGGGACACTGGCAGATGTGGAATCTCTCCTTGTGACTGCTGTAGCTGCAAGTGAACATGAACGTAAGAATCGCATTGTCGAATCACTTCAATATTTCTCCTTTTTCCAGTTACTGCTATGTGAGGAAGAAGGACTGTGCAGAAAGTAGAGTTAAGTGGACGAAAACTGAAAACAAAGCTGCCGCGTTGCTTTGTTCCTTCAGAGTAAATACAACCAGATGGAGCCGGTTGCTGCATCTAGCCCAGGCCAAAACCTTGCCCGGACCCTCTCCGGAGATAACCCTCACCCCGTTACTGCCGACCTTGAGCTTAGGGGCTTGCCAAAGAGCAAAGCTGTCAGTCCTTTGCCTGCCTCTTTAACGGCTTCTCTGGCAGTACTTGCTGTGTCCTTCTCAAAGCCTCCTCCAGTCTTTATTAAAAGTAAGCCAATAATGTAAAAGACATCTTTTAATGTTTTTAATTAAAAGCTTTACATTTTTCAGGTGTTGCTGATCAGTTAGTGAATTCACAGTGTTCACAAGGCAGGAATCTCCCACTGCCTCCCCCCTCCCCACCCTATTCATTTTACACGCAAGCTGGTAGTTCCGGCGAATGCCCCTTTCCATGCATAGATGTGTAACACAGTGTTCTGCTAAACCACAGCGTTTGTATCTGCAGCAAGAGATACTGCTGCTACTGCAAAGTCAGTCCAATATGCTGAAGTGCTGAGACCGTAAACTCTGTACATCAGTGCACAAGAAACACAGGCCGTTTCTGCTGAGAACATGCAGGTCAGCCCAGAAGTGCACAAATAAATAAAGCTAAATTAGCTGTACGTTAAACAATTGGGGGGGTTCTCTACATTTTGTCTCTTGTCCAGTTACCAACACGCACACTGCTAAAGCCATCAAAGGACTCCCCTCAGAACACACCAAGGCCTCGCCTCCTACTGATGCTCCCGGGTGTCTGTTCTTGCCGTGGCATCAAGAACAGCTTGAATTTCTCCCAGGCTTTGTGGTGCTGCTGTCAACGTGAGGAGACTTGGTGCTAGTTCAGGAACCCTCCCTGAACACACAGGTGTATCTCTGCTCCCACTAAAAACAAACTTCCGAGGAACGCCCAGGTAACGCCCACAGACAGTACCATTGCATTTAAACTAAGTAACTTTGAGGCAGTAGTACCAAAGCAACTTGTGCAGCAGGATTAATTCTTCCCCTCCTGCAGGGGAGAGTAAATTCTAATGCTATAACTTAAAAACAAACAAAAAACCCCCAAAAAACCACCCACCTTAGCCTAGTTTCTAGCAAGGGAAGAAACAGCCACAAAGCAGGCTTCAGTGGGAACGGATGCAGTTCACAGCCCACACATGAGAGATCCTGAAGTCAACTCTATTCCAGTGTCAGGAAGGATACAATTTCTAATCAGCACTGCTTAACATGAAAACATACGTTAAAGAATTGTGGGACCAAGTCCTGCACTCCTCTGTTTTCGTCTGAAGTATGCAGAATGAGTGTAAGCTCAGCACCACTGAGACTCACACACACTTCGCACATGGAGGTAAAGAAGAAACCAGAGATGTGTGTGACTGTCCCGCATGGAGCAGCCTGCCCAAGCCCAGCCCTTTGGAGGGATTTTCACAGCTATTTACAGAGCTACCATCAAGCCCTATTTTTTTCCCCCCCAAAAAAAAGAAAACTACTGTTTTGTAATGCACTTCCCCACCACCTGCAAATAACAACTTTGCACATTTCTCAGACTTAAAAATAAAATACAGTACTGATTTAGCGCAAGCTGAAGGCTGCAAGCTGAAGAGGCTTAAGAGACCCAGCTGCTCCCTAGCTCTTGTTCTAAAGACAAGGCAATGTAAATGTAGGTTTCAGCCAGGTTTTCCAGGTTTTCATCGGGGGGGGGGGGGGGGGGGAACCATGCCTAGCAGCACGTTGTTGTTTGCTACCTAAAAACTGTCATACCTTGAAAAGTATTTTATACAAAGCCAGTGGGTTAGAGCATGCTTTCCTCCAGGCCTGAACTCCACTTGAACGTGCTCTGCACGGTTTAAGGGGTTTGGATGGCTCCTGTAAGTCAGTGGTTGTGTTACAAATCCCTACGCGATGTTTCTATGTTGGCCTATTATAAAAACGTGGGGAAAAAAGGGGAAAAAAATACCCAAACCCCACTGCAACCAGAGCCTCGGTCTGGAGTCAAGTAGGTACTGCTGAACACCAGTGAAAACACCAGTCGCCTTCCCTACTTCCTCTCATGCATCCAAGTCTCTGCGCTGTGGAGCCGGGGCAGCTCCCTGCCTGCCCTCGGCCAGGGAAGGGCACAGGGGTGGCCGGAGGGGAGCAGGCAGGGCCAGGAGGGCTTCCCCACCAGCCCAGCCCCAGCACAGCGGCTTTGGAGCCAGACTGCTGCAAAGCTCTGCTCCAGCTCAGCCCCCGGGGAGAGCAATGCAGCACCCACGTCCAGCAGGACTGCAGGCAGGAGAGCCTTCCTTACAGCCCGATGGGTGCCGGCTGGTCCGTGGGGTGCAGCACCGCATCCCCCACGTGTCCCCACCTTTTCCATACTCTCCCCTGGCTCCTGCAGGACGGACGGCTGCTCCCGCACCCACCAACCTGAATGTTGTGAGCATGGGTGTCCTCTCCCCCAAAACACCTCCTGATTAGCAGCAGCCTGCGGGTGTAACTGCTGCCTGAGCTCGCTGAGGGCACCCACACGCACCCTTCCCCAAGGAACCGGGTGCTCAGCAAAGCTCCCACAGGCCAGGGGAGCCAGGCATGGCACTGGAGGGAGCAAAGCACAGCAGCCTCAAAACGAGCAAGTTAAAGACAGAAACCACTTCCCAATTTCTTACGAGAATGAGTCAGAGGCGGACGGACACAGCCCAGGAGGAAGCCCCCACCACGACAGGGATGCTGTGTTTTGGGAGCCATCACCGCGACTGCTTACTTCTTCTCAAAGAAGGGGCTGAAAAGTCCCCAGTCAAATGCGAGCATGGCCTGGGGATTGGGCCGCTCCTTGGGTTTCTTGAAGTTATCCTTCTCAGTGCGGAGGGTCCTTAGCACCTCCACTGGGTCTGTCTTGCCCGTGAACTTCTGCAAGGGCTCCTCCCTGCAAGGAGACCGGCTCTGCTGTGATGGGAAAGGATGGGATGGGGACCCCCCTCCCTGCTGGGATCCCAGTGCACGCCAGGATGGACAACAGGGGAGTCACATCCTTGTGCCGGGTGGCTGCTGGGGGCACATGGAGCCTGTCTGCAGGTACCCCATGCTGGGCAGGGCAGGCCACCATGTCCAGGCACCCTCCCTTTCCTCAGGGCTTTGATTTCCCACTAGCTAGCAAAGCCACTGGTAGAAGGGATGACGCTGGAGGAAAAAGGGAAGCTGAGTTTGGGGACAGAACCAGCCAGCTGGGGCCCACCCACCCCCAGCTCAGTTCAGGGTCGACCCGCGGCGAGGCCCTTTGCACCCCCAAACCACCAGTGCTGCTTACGTGACCCGCAGGAAGGGGTTGTAGAGGAACTCCTCCTGCAGCGTGGAGGGCACTGTGGGCAAGTCCTCGTCATCCCGCTGCTGCCGAGGAACCAGAGATGTCTGAAAATCTGCTGACACCCAACACCCCCTCCACCCCTGCCCCGACAGGGGCACAGCCACTTACTTTGGCCCACGCAAGTTTCTTCTTCACTGTTTCATTGTCTGGTTCCACTTTCAGGGCAAACTTGAGATTTCGGACAGTGCACTCGTGACCACAGAACACTTTCTGCAATGCCAGCGGGAAGCACCCAGTGTCAACACGTGCTCCCTGCTGACACCCAACACCCCCTCCACCCCTGCCCCGACAGGGGCACAGCCACTTACTTTGGCCCACGCAAGTTTCTTCTTCACTGTTTCATTGTCTGGTTCCACTTTCAGGGCAAACTTGAGATTTCGGACAGTGCACTCGTGACCACAGAACACTTTCTGCAATGCCAGCGGGAAGCACCCAGTGTCAACACGTGCTCCCCGTGCCGGGTCTGACCCATCCTGGTCCTGCTGCAGCCCCAGCCCCAGGGACAGGTGCTGCAAGTCTCAAGCCCCCTCCTGATTTTGGGGTCCCTCCCGATTTTGGGGTCCCTCCCCAGGCTGGGGCTGAGATGCGAGGCACTCACCGTCTCCTTCGGCAAAGCCCCCAGGATTTGGGTGAGGTTGGTGTACATCTGCTCTGCTGTACCCTCGAAGAACTTCCCGCAGCCTCCCACGAACAGGGTGTCACCTGCAGGGAAAGGGGTCTGGGCACGGAAGGGACGCTGTCCCTGCTCCCAGGAACAGGGTGCTGGGTGGGAGCCCCCATGCACCGAGTGTGCTCCACTGCCCCGTGAGCACCGAGCAGGGAGGGGACGACAAGCAGCATGCAGGCAGCACGCCCTGTCCCCGGTACCCATGGGGTGCACATCAGCAGGGTGGGATACCTGAGAAGAGAGCCGGAGCGTCTGGAGAGCCGTCCTCCCACATGAAGTAGCACATGTGGCCCGAGGTGTGGCAGGGGGTGAAGAGGCACCTCACCCGGATGGCCCCGAACTGTGGGGAGAGAGTGGTCAGGACCCCACTGGGGTCACCCTGGTGCTGATGGGCAGCCAGACACTCCCAGACCTCCCGAAGCCCCATAGCATTGCCGGCCCAGGGCTCAGCGGGTCGCAGACATGCCACGGGATGGTGGTTTGGGTGACTCCCAGGTTGCAGGTGTCTACTCCAACGGTGTTTAGCAGTGGGGCCCCCAGGAGAGGATTGAGTCCCCTGGTGCAATCCCACTGGGACAGGGTTTCTCCTCCAGTCCAGTGCTCCATCCCAGCCCAAACCCACGTTTCTATATCTGCAACTGCCCCAGGGCACAGGGAGCCCAGGCATGGCCCCAGCCAGGCACCAACCTCGTTAGCTCCCGGCACAGTGTCGCACCATCACCCAGCTCCGCTGCCCACCAGCCCAGCACTGCGCTAGTGGGTGCAGATCTGTGCATGGGAACCAAGCCCCAGGGTGCTCCCGCGATCCTACGGCCACGCACCGTCAGCTCCTGGTTGTGGGTCACCTTGTGCGTCAGGGCCCCGATCCGCTCGTCAGCGCCGTACACCCGCAGGCCAGGGCAGAGCCTCGCCAGCTCTTCGTTGCCCCTTGCGTGGTCCCTGCACCGGCAGAGGAGGGAATGGGCGCCCGGTCCTGCACGGGGCATGGCCGACCCCAGCCCCCTGCTCGCACCAGTGGTGCTTACCAGTGGTGGTGGGTGGTGAGCACTGCTCTGAGCTCCACGTCCTCCTTCCTGATGATTTCCAGCAACTGAAACGGACCCGGAGCAGAGGAAAGTGAGGGCACAGAGAGGAGGCAACACATGTGCCATGGCTGCTACAGCCACACAGCGTGGCCGTGAACAGCCAGCACCTGCTGTGCCCGTCCCAGTGCAGGATCTGTCCCGCTCGGCACCACTCTGCAGGTGAGGGGCCCAGTGGACCATGGCAGAGGAAACAGTCAAAAACAACCACTGAACAGTGAGAGGATGAGGGTGAGACGAAGGCTCGGCTCCCCACACCCGACCCTGTCACGCAGAGTGGAGCAGGCAGACCGGAACATGCTGCTCCCACAAGGACGGCAGTGTTTTATGGCCGGTGCTTTCACAGCGTAAGCACGGAGGTGCGGCACAGGCCGCGCGCTGGGTCACTGCCGTGGCAGGGAGACGGTGGCCGTGCAACCCATCCTGGCTTCTCTGCTATGGCGAGGGGCACACGCGGGGCTGCCAACCCCACGGCTCAGCTGCCAGGAGGCTTTTAACGCCAACTTAAAATCCACTGCTTACTAACAAACCCTCTGGCTGCTCCCGATTACGTTCCTCAAAGAGGAAGGAAACGTCCGAGTGGTCACTGCCGTGGCAGGGAGACGGTGGCCGTGCAACCCATCCTGGCTTCTCTGCTATGGCGAGGGGCACACGCGGGGCTGCCAACCCCACGGCTCAGCTGCCAGGAGGCTTTTAACGCCAACTTAAAATCCACTGCTTACTAACAAACCCTCTGGCTGCTCCCGATTACGTTCCTCAAAGAGGAAGGAAACGTCCGAGTCAGCAACAAACGCTTAAAAACCGTGACAGCACTTGCACGATTTGCAGCAGTTGAGAGTGGCACAAGGGGGTCACCAGGCAGGGGAACCACAGAGGTCACGGCAGTGCGGGGCGACCCCATGCCTCCAGCAGCACGGCCGCAGGCTGGCTTCCGGAAAACGGGACTTCAGGTGGGAGACACACTCCAGAGCCCAATTTCAAGTTATTCTGACTTGCTTTGGGGTCTGCACGGCTTCCAGCTGGGGCACGGGGAGGGCTGGGAGGTAACAGTTAAGGCGACACAGAAATCCCCCGGCAGCCCAGGGGTGGGTGAGATCTAGCACACGCACACCCACTCCGTGGGGGCTGAACAGGGGACCCCCACGGGTGGGATGCTCCACACGCACACGGGTGCACCCTGCTGCACGCGAAGACCCCACATACCAAAACCCCGCGTGGGGCTATCACCACGGGCGTGTCCTCCGAGTGGGACCCCGCAGCCCACCCAGGACGTGGCAGGGCTGCAGC